TGTAAAACATTTTCCTTCATACCAAACACACCCCAAATCACTTCTTATGAATTTCTGATTCTGTTATCGATCCTATATATATCACGATTTCGCAAACTAATTATTTCCTTTTTATTTTGGTGGTTTATCATAGCAAATAAATGAACTTCTTCAACACATAGACAACACACAAGTTCATGAGAAACCTCCTTATGACTTATGGTTAGAGCTTGAAGATTATAATCATGAGAACAACAATATTAATAGTCCTCTCTATACTGCCTCAGAAACATCTTCAATTTCTCAAAGGTATGGACCTTAATTTTTCCCATCATTTTATAGGGTTAGTTATATTATATATTTCTTATACTATGTTTCAGTTTCGAAAACACCACAAATTATTAATTTTGTCTCTAAACTATTAAATGCCTTAAAAATAATCTTCTATTACTTGACTAACTAAACTTAGATATATATACATCATCGATCTAGCATGACATAGCAAGTTGTCTTAGATTCTTGTAGAAATATGAGACTCTTAATAAAAGATCGAGAGAAGTGTTGAAAATATACTTAAATTTGACCAGAATTTAGGGTTGTATATGTTTCGCTCATGTCGTAAGATCAGGGTGCATTTAAAACTGTCAATAATTTAAAAAATGAAACTAATAATTCACGCCAAATTTAGAAGTGTTTTCAATTCTCCATAGTGTTTATTGTAATTAACTCTTTAGTATATATGTTTGAATAATTAATTAGTTGTTAACTTGTTTGTAGTTCTATGAACCTTCCATCCTCAACTACTTATGATACAATGTCCCAAACAAGTCTAAGTGGTGAGACTTATCAAAATAATAACAACTTTAAGCAATCACAACATTCAACAAGGACCTTACCAAATCTCACTTTACAAACTTCATTCAAATTTGCCAAGGTGAGCTAGCTCTTTCAACAATATATTTCATTTCTTTTTGTTTATTTATTTTTAGGATAATTACACTGCATATTTGTCTATCAAAATAATAGCTTGTAAATATATTTATTTTATATTCATGTATGATATACATAAAATATCCATTTCTTGATCCAAAATAGTGTTTTTTATTATGTATATTTTGCTAGTAAATATAGGTATTTTGACTGACCAACCAAATATGTAATAGTGGAACTAATCTAAAAAACTTTAATTTGAATCGTAAAGATGAGGAGTTCAAAAATTGAAAATGTAGTTGCTGGAATTAGAATTAGAAACCTCAAGGGGATTACTGAATCCCCGAATTAAAAAACTATATATCTACATAAAAAGTAAAAATAAAAATAATTTATCTTATTTATACCGGTGTAATTTTTTATCAAAGAAATTCAGCTGAACTCCCCCCTCTCCCCCACTCCACATCACGTGTACTATCAACCCGAGCCCAAAGAAGTAAAACAACGTCTTGAAACGAAGAACTATGATCACCTCGATTTTTCTTAGAAACTATTTAACTCAAACTTCTGATTTTACTCTTAATAAGATAAAACTTGTTTTATTGATATAAGTAATGTGACTTGTTGTTTGTTATGGCAGCCTGAAATGTCCCAAACAAGTATTGAAGGAAGTTTTAGTTGCCTCACTGATGAAAATTTGAAGAAATCAATATGTTCAAATAGGGTCTTCCCAGCTATCACTCCATTACAAACTTCATTCTCTTTTGCCAAGGTAAATTTCATATTTTCTTTTCTTTTATGATTTTTTTTTAACAACAATGTTTATTGATAATTAAAAAAAAAGTGTTCCAAAATATAGTTATCCAACATGTTAACTATATCTATTTTGATTAATTGAATCGGATTTTATGTTATGTTATATAAATTGAAACGGAATAAATGATAAATTTGTGTCATAGCTTTTAAGTTGCATCATCAATTTTTTTTTTCCTTTTTCATTGATTATGTATAATCAAAACCAGTGAATTCTACCGAACTCGTAGTGTGTATTATAGATCCACACATGCATGCATTGACTAGTCAGTAAATGAAAAACATTCCCTTTCACGTTAGATAGGCAGAGATAAAATTAAGATTTTAAATTAAGAAATTAAAATATAAAAAAAGTAAAAATACGAATAGAGAAAAGGGATTCAACATCTATCTACCTCTACATACATAAAATTGATTTTAATTTTATATTTCGGTCTTCGCTTTTAGGGGCGGGAGTGCTTGGTCTCTTGGGTTCATATATATTCTTAGATCAATACAGTTGTGTCAACCTTGATCTAACATTTTGTTATGAGTTGGTTGGACAAAGATGAATTTTAGGTTAGGTAGATTTGAATTCTCGTGGCACAACATGACTCTCTATCGACCCATATGGTCTATTCTATCCTTATTGATTTCATTCTATTGTAACGTAATGCAAAAAAAACTCTTTCTTATTTTATATTTCTTTGATTTGGAAGTTCTAAATTTTGGCTATTGATTTCTATTACAAAAAATTTCCTCCTAATACCCTAATATTGTGTCATTTCATTGAAACAAGTTTCACTAAGAATTTTTAGAGCTTGTGTTCATTATTAGTCTAGAATATTGTGCAACTATCCAGGGGTATATATTTCCGACCCTTAACTAAAAGTCACAAAAATAAAAATAATCTTGATAAGAAGTGCTTTCCCTTGAAATAGATTATCATGTCATAAAATTTAAATCAAGTCAGTAAATTCTGAATATATATATCGAACATGTATTTTATGATAGAGATAAGTAAAATATTTTCTTGTTTGTTATGCTTGCAGGCTGAAATGGAAACTCCAACCTCAGCATTAAGACCATTGGCACCATATCTACAGGCTGAAGCAACAACATCTTCTTGTACTAATCAAGAAGGGAACAATGAAATGTCTTGGTTTCAGCCCAAAGTGAAAAAATCCAAGCAATATCATTCAATTGACTAAATATTTAATATAGGGAAAAGGGTCTGATATACCCCTCAACTTTGTCATTTAGAGTTGATATACCCTTCGTTATAAAAGTGGCTATATGCCCTTACCGTTATACAAACGGCTCACATATACCCCTGCCGTTACAAAATGGCTCACATATACTCTTCATTTATCGGAAGTTAAAAAATTAGTTTTAAATTTATATTTGTTACTTCTAATTTTTTTAAAAAAATTATTTATGGGTATATATGATTCTTCTATCAAAGTTCAAGGTATATTATAATTTTTTTCATACATAAATTATTTTTTGACTTCTTTTATTATAATTATTTGAGTTTTTTATTCTTATTTTGTTTTTTTCTTTCACTCCTTAGTTTAAAGAAAAAAAATTTAATTCGAAGAAAAAATTTGGTCATCTACAATAAGTTTTACAAGAATATTAGTGAAACATAAATAAATTTGATTATCAAAATAATAGTTATAAATTAGTCATTGAAACAAAAAAAGTCAAAAAAATATGTTTGACAAGGATTAAATGTACTCATATGGGATTATATTTTTTAGAAAAATTAATAAAAATTTAGATTAAAATTATTATTTTTTTCATTTCCGTTAGAAGAAAAGGGTATATGTGAGCCATTTGTTTACAAGTAGGGGTATATATGTGCCACTTTTATAACGAGGGGTATATCGGCTCTAAATGACAAAGTTGAGAGGTATATCAGACCCTTTTCCCTTTAATATATGTAAAATGTACATACATATGGAATTACAATAACAATACACGTATTCAGAGTAATCTCGTAAAGTGAACCTAAAAGGGTAGAGTATAGAAAGACCTTATCTCTACCTTTGAGGTAGAGTCGTTGTTTCTGATAGACCCTCGACTCAAGAATATACATGCATACATAGTTGTGCCAACAACAACAAAAAAACATATATATGGAGTTGGAAATTTCAAAATATATGAATGTTTAATACTAAATTCATGTTTTGTTGTTACAAGAGATTGGTAAATGCATTAGTTGTAATAGTGTCTTAACATTAATGTAACTAGCTAGGATTAGTTGCACCGAATTATTAAAATATGTTTGACTCTGATATCACATGTATAAAAAATAAAATAAATATTAGATTTTAACTCAAAGTCAAAAAAATATACATACATTAATAGAGAAATTTAATCAATTAAAATGAATTAAAATAAATATATTAAATTTAAAAAAAATATCTTCAGGGATTATACCTAAATTTTATGCAAGCTTCATGCTATTGACAAAGTATTTTTATTACCATATACATACCTTTGAGTCTCATAAATGCTTTAGAAAGACAACTCTTAAGTTTTATTAAGAGAACATTTTACTCTTAATTATATATACAAAAAGTATTATTAGGATTTAGGAGTAACAACAATAATTTATGGTGAGGTCAGAAAAGAGTAGAATGGACACAAATTTTACTACTATCTTGTGAAGGTAAAGAGGTTGTTTTCGAAAGACCCTCGACTCAAATACAACTATTATAAATATTAAGATCGAAAATATAGCACGTCGCGAGAAGACAGTGCAAATTCTATCAGAAGGGAGCAACAATAACAAAATAATACAATAATCGAAATACAATAAACAACATATTACAATAGATTATCGAAAACAGTAAAATAAATTGATGTATATTAAAAAAGCAAAAACTACAGTAATGTGACTAGCACGTTGTCAAGCAGCAATCACCCTAAGCAAGACAAGAATACTAAGTTATTTACTAATCTCCTATCCTAATACATGTCCTCCACACCTTTCTATTTAACGTCATATCCTCGGTAATGTAAAGTTATGTCATATCTTGTCTTATTGCCGCTTTTGAATATTTTTTTTGGTCGAACGTACCGTCTATAACCAACCTTTCACACCACCTCATCTATGCATCAACACATCTTTTTTCACATGTCTAAATCATCCGAGTCTCACTTCTCTCATCTTATTCACTATGCATATCACTCTTACGTTGTTCCGAATATCCTCCCCTAACTAGTATGATTACAAATTGAACTTAGCATTCTCATCTCCGCAAATCGATTGAATATCATTTCTAATTATTATGAGTAAAATTTTCAAAATTCAATAGATCTAGATCCCTCTAAAAATCCAACCCAATTGAGAACCCGACCCGAAATTTTAAAACCAAAAAGCCTTCCAACACTTAAACATCCAGATCAATTCAGCTCCCCGACCAAAACTCCTCTCCGCCATGGATACCACCGGATTACCCGACCCGAATCCACCACAACCCGACGCCACCACCACTGCCCCCGCGGCCGCCGCCACTGCCATTGACGATCCACTAAACAACCCGTACTCCTCCCTAAACGCCATCTGCCATGACCTCTCCGATCTCCAAGACCTAGCCACCCGCGGCGCGTGGAAGTCAATCCTCGACAAGGTCGGCCATGCACGGTCCCTCAACCTCCTCACTAAACCTCACGAACACCTCACGTACCTCACTTTCAACGTCTTAGCACTCACCAAGCTCCGCCGTCCCGTCGATGCTAATCAAGAGCTCGAAACCCTCCTCGACGGCGAAGATTTCAACACCCCACAATTCCATTACCAGAATTACCCTAATCATTACCCCAATATGAAGGGCAATTTCGTCCCTTTTGCTCTCCGTTGGCTCCATGCTTATCTTCCTTACTCTCTCGCTCAGCGGATGAAATCGCTCGACAGGTTATATACACTTATTGATTTTATTAGATCGAAAAAATTGAAAGTTTTAACTAACCCTAGTAATGATTTGTGGAAAAGAAGGGAGATTTTAGTGTTGAATACGATAATTAGTCATCATTTGAGTCAAAAAGATTTCAAATTGTGTTTGGGTTTGTTGAATGAGCTGATTGGAATATGTGGTGATGATGATCCAAACGTGTTGTCGAAATTAGGATATGTGAAAATGCAGTATGGAGATGTGGAGGGTGCGAAAAAGGCGTTTAGCGCGGTGGAGGGGATGATAGGGAGTGAAAGTGAAGCGGGGTTGAGGAATTTGGTGAGTAGGAGTAAGGCATTGATGTATATAGTGGAGAAGGATTATGTCTCTGCGGTAAGGGAGTACGAAGAGTGTATCGAGAGGGATGGAATGGATATGGTGGCTATGAATAATAAGGCTTTGTGTTTGATGTATTCGAGGGATTTATCGGATGCTATTAAGGTGTTGGAGAATGCATTGGAGAGGGTTCCGACTGTCGCGTTGAATGAGACTCTTGTGGTGAATTTGTGTAGTATGTATGAATTGGCTTATGTTAATCATGCTGATATTAAGAGGACACTTAACAATTGGATTGCTAGAGTTGCTCCTGATGATTTTGACTCGTCTTGTACTCGAACATGAGGTAATGTTTTCTTTGTTGATGAAATTGGGAATGAGAATTCTGATAAACGTTTACGTAATCTTATTTTACTCTTTCTAATTGTGTGATTGTTTGTATCTTGGGACGCATTCTTGTTCTTTCATTATATAGAAAGAAGAACCTCTTATATCTCATGCTTCTATTACATCCAAAAATATTTCTCTCTTCCGTTTTGTTGTGTATTCCTTTTGCGAGTATGATATCAGGTTTTTATGTTGAGCAAGCTTGTTTATACTCATGATGTTCAAGTATTAGCCCGATCATCCCGGTTTATCTAGACGTATTTAAGATTCATCTCTGAAATTCATAATGCTTAGAAGCATTATAACTGAAACATCAAACTCTTAATAGTCCTTTGAACCTGAGTGTTATGCCTCTGTAGTTGCTCAATCTGAATGTCAGGTTGTTTTGCGGAGACGTTGTTTTTGCTAGATTCTCGGCTCAAGGAAAAAAGAGTGTAAAGATTATTTGGTACTCTCAGTAGGTGAGCGAAAAGTTTGACCGCTGTAGTTGAGATTTTTTGTATCCTTGAAGGAAGTGGAGCAACAATCTAGTACTTTTTTTTATGACAAGGGAAACCCGCAACTGCTATTCTTTGGGTATGACGAACAGGTTAAAACCCCCGCTTCTACGCAATAGCTCACAAACCAAACCTGCACTAAACAAGTTTAAGATAGTTTGAACCTGCCTTTAGTTTTCCCTTCTTTTTAACACTTTGTTTCCTTCATTGCTCTGTTGGTTTCAAAGAAACGATGCTGCGACTCCTTTCACTGTCAAAGCAAAACCAAACCTCCTTGGTGAGTTCTGAAATCTTATTAAACATTAATAGTCTTCATTCTTTTGGACTCTCCGCCATTGATTCTACTGTTATTAGTGAGGAATAATGGAACAATTCCTTTATACTGTCCTTTTGTGTGCTGGCGTGTGATGCCTTAGGACGTGTATAGGGGTAGTGAACAAGTTAAACCGTAAAGTCAAATCGAATTGACGAATCAAATCAAATCGGAAAAAAATGATGTGTGACGCCTTAGGACGTGTATAGGGGTGTACAACTCAAATCGTAAAGTCAGACCGAACCAATGAATCAAATCAAACCGGAAAAAAAATTCGACGTGTGACGTCTTAGGATGTGTATAGGGGCGTACAAGTCAAACCGAACCGATGAATCAAATCAAACAGAAAAAAAATGATTCGTGGTTAGGTTTAGTATTAGAAGAAAAAAAGTCAAACCGAACCCAATATATATAATATATATATATATATTAAAATTTATTTTATTTATAGATGAAAAATAATATTTTAGTTAAATTATAGTTTTCAATGTTTATATATTTTATTTTAAATTTGGACTTGAAAAAGTTGTAGATATTTTATTTTGTATTAAGATCCGAAGTTACAATTATATTGTTATAGTTTTTCAAATTTGTAGTTAACAATTTACTTTGTAAATATTTTTTGTATGCAGTTTGTCTCTAGCCTTTAATTTTATTAATTTAACAGAATGAACGTTAATATTTCAAAAAAAAATATTTTGTACTCGTGTAAATTTTGCAGTCTTTTCAAAAATTTCTGTTCATTTAACATTTTTTAAGTTTAATTTATCACACAAGTAAGTGAGAAAATATTTGAACACTTCTTCAAATACTGTGTAGTTATAAAAAAAATTGAAAGAAACGAAAGAAGCGACTAATGCCGAAATTAGAAAAACCAACTCTATATGGTCTGATTTGGTTTTCAGATATTAATTGATTTAGATTTTTTTAATGAAAAACCAAACCGAATCGATCTATGTATACCCTAGACGCGTATATCATATTCCCTGATTGAACTAAGTGATGTTGTATTACTATGATTTTGTTCTACTTGTATATTTTTCAAATGGGTTCATGGTAAGAATGATTTACTAATGAAATTTTAGATTTATGATTGCATAAATTATCTTTTAAAAAAAAATAGTGTGCAGCAATTTTAGTTTTTTTTAACAAACACTAGCAACAAAGAGAAGTTTCAATATGAAATGAATGGACGAATAATTCATTGATTTCTTTTTATCATTACTTTAATTACGATCTTCTACTTCCACATAGCTAGTTAATCACCAAAAATATTTATCGTGTTTTGCTACATGATGAATCTAAAGGTTGATGATGATCAATTATCATGTCCATTTGTTGTTTTTCCCATATGTCTACCTCCTTAGCTAATAAGCCTTTGGAATCTCCTTCTTCATAACTTCTTTTCTTTGTTATGATCTTTACTTTCTTTAAAGTGTGTTTCAGATCAAAATACATTATTTAGTTTGTTTCAAATCAAAACGCATCGTTTAGTTTAGTCATATAATAATTAATTACCATCTTATAAGATTTCTATATCCATTTTCGCGATAATAACAATGAAATATTATAGATAATTAACAATACAATTTGTTTCCTTTTGTTGGCGATAGGATCAATGATTTTTTGAAAAAAATTGCTTCTAGAAAACAAATTTAACCATCAACTCATTTTGGAGTACAAGTTACGTAGATAAGCACACTTCAATGGGCCGGACTTTGAAATGGGCTATTTTCTTTTATGGGTTTGGTGTCCATTTATTTGATTTGTGAACTTTTGTTGTAAAATAGGAAAAACTATAGACATATTTCACTATTATCTATATTATTATCTATACTTACAAAATGTTACATATCTTACCACTAACCTACCATATATGTTGAGGAAGATACACTTAGGTACATATATTTTTGCTACCAGATACACTAAAATAAAAAGACAAGCGAGCGAGATAGGGAGGGGAGGGGGGAAGGAGATTCGTTATGTAGCCTAGATACATGCGAACCACACTAGATACATTGTTTTATATGTATTTGGTGTGATTTCGCATGTATTTTGAATACCAAGTACATAGGATAGTGACGAGTGCGATGGAAAAGATGCGAAGAGACGAGCGATATTTGTTATGTTTTACCATATAAATGCGAAACCACTTGAATATAATGTATCTTACACCTTATTTTGATCATATGTATCTGGATGCATCTGGACACATCAAAATTTGTTGAGATACATAATATTGTAAACTAGAAAATATCTAAATAATTAACTCATAAACTGATGAGTTTGTAAGTTTGCCAAAAAATTTCACAGGCCAGCCTATTTAGCACCACTATTTAACATGTATCCATTTTTTTATAATGAGAAATTGTAGATATCTCCACTTTAACATGTGGTGTCTGGAGTTATGCTTCATAAAACCAAACTCTAGACTCATTGTCTGAATTAAGTTACATGTGGCTCAAGTAAAATAATTGGAGTTAGATTAATTAGGTTAAATATTTGTTCATATATTACTTAACCTTACAAATAAAATATTAATTGAATCGTGGTATATTTTTCCAATTACTTACAAATTTGAGATCATAGTATAATGTTTCTTAATAAGATTTTTAGTTTTCTCAAAAAAAAAAATAGAAATCGTGGTAAAAAAGGTAAACATATGGCTATATAACACTTTAAGAATAAAATGAAAAGTTTAACTTTTTGTTGTTTTCCAAGTATATAGCAATGTCATTCTTTTCGTGACAAGAGTAATAAGAAAATAATGTCATATAAACTGAAATAGATAAAATAATTTCTAGATAAACACATTATTCTTTTTTCTTCATTCTATTACAAGATCTTCTTTTCAACTCTTCAAGTTGTCTTTTCCACATATCCTTATGGAAAACAATCTTTCTATTTCCCTTATACTTTTTCCACATCAATTGATCACTCTCAAAAGAATTCATCAAATTCAATTCATAATCATAAATTTGACGAGAAATTGGATCATAAAGAGTTTCATATGCTTTTCTCAGCTCAATAAATCGTATCGTCGATTCTTCTTTATTTAAATCACGACAAATATCAGGATGATATTGAAGAGCTTTGCATCTATAAGCTTTTTTAATCTCTTCAAACCCTACATTTGTAGAATGTAAAGAAAGCACTTCATAAAAATTATTGGCTAATTTCCCACTTTGCATATTAGCCATGATTTTGAGATTGTTCTTTCTACCTTTGTGAATAAATATTGGAGGAATATTCACCTTATACTTATTCATTTTTAATGATATATTCATTGGTAGTAAGTCTGGAACAAAGAACGAGGAGTATGAGAAGAGAGAATTATTTTTCGAAGGTCAGATCGGGTTGATTGATATAAGTACTCTTTTTCAAGATTTTATCTAGGAGAGTTTTGTAAATATGAATATAATGTGTGTGTGTGTGAAATCTACATATAGAATATGCATGTTTTAAGTATATGATTAATTGAGAATTAGATAGGGGCATTTAATTAAGAATAATTAGTGGTTTTTTGGGGGTAATTAAGGGCGGCTTCTTAATTTAATGGACGACCTTGACTAGAGTTATAGCTTGGCTTGAAATAAATGTCTTTTTATGTTTGTTTAAGTGATGGACCTATAATTGAACTAATATGTATATATATTGAAAATTCTTATATATTTTAATTGAGTCGATGGTCTATTGAAAATATTTTTTTTATTATCACGAGATAATTAAGGGTAAGATTAACTATACATCACTTTATTCGGACTCTATTTATGAAATTAAATGTGGTTGTGCTTTAATTTTTTTATGTGTGTTATTTTAAAGAATATAATTTTGTAATGACCTACATTATATGATATGAGTTGTACAAACTTTATTTGCATGGTGTTGTTGCTGTCTTTTGTGTGTTGAAAGAATTGTCCCTTCCTCTTCGATTTTACGCGGTATAAATTTAAATTATTCATGCAAGTATGTAACATAAGTATATCGAGTAGGTATTTTTTGGAGAACTTTCACATATAGCCACTAAAAATAGCTTAATTATTCTCCATAGCTATAGTTTGATAATTACAATTCGTAACTACATGTTATAGGGAGAAGAAAGGCGAGCGAGATTAGGAGAGAGAGAGAGCAAAAAGTGGAAGAGAGGTGAATTGTACATGTATATTAGTTAGATAATTGTATATTAAACATATGTATTTATATATATGGCTAGCGATATAGGGAGAGAGAGGAGAGAGATGAGTGATATTCGGAGAGAGGCGAGCGATATTGGGAGAGAGGCTAGCGAGAGAAGGTAGAGATGGGAGAGAGGTGAATTGTATATGTATATTGGTT